GCTTTTCCCAGCATCCTCTAATTTATGGCTATTTCTTCTGTAGTTTAAAGAGGCGGTGTGCAGAATAACTTATCAATTGTTCTGCGCTATGATGTGGTGAGACAGGCTGTTTGTGTGTTTGCAGAAATGAAGGGAGGAAACATCCAGAGAGCCAGGGGAAAACACTTCTCATTTACCCTGTTGGCAGTTGTATGTATGACCGTATTTCTTTTGTCTTACGAACGAAGACCTGTTTTCACAAATATAGTAACGTCCCAAGATCACTTGATTTTACCATCAGGTTTGTGCCAATTTGCATCTTCTATATTTTTGGTTCATCATTAGTTTTATTTTTGTTCCATTAGTGCTTAAAGGTTATGCTAGATACACAACGTAGGGGAATGAGTGTTGTCTGACTTGGGCTTTAAATATCTTTTTCCCATTTTTTGAAGAAATGACTAAAAGGATAGGATCATTGTATCTAGAAGTTTTATGAATATATGCATTATACAGTCTACATAATCTTAGTTACTACTCAATGATATGTTCTTCTCTGGGCAAACCTATTTAATACGATTGTTTTTCCTTACAAAATGATTGGTTGAGTACTTGAGTAGGTGTGTTAAAGGATGCTGTTGCTGTTGTGGTTTCTCTTTTTCATTGTCTTCTGCTCTGATGTATGCTAATTGCTTTTGATTCAGATGTGTTTGACGTAGCTTCACACACCTCTGGAGATCTCAACAAATCAGAAGACCAACCTGTTCAAGAATCTCTACATGTTAACATAGAAACAGAAGAAACTACAGAAACAACAGAGCAACATATATTTAATATTGAGAATAAAGAAGAAACAGACGATAAAATAAAACCTCAGATACCTGTTGTTGAGAATACAGAACCTGTGGCTGAAGAGTCTTCCGTGATTACTGAAGATGTCAGGGTTCCACAAGCCTCAACCGGGAAAAACTTTTCATCTGATAACAAAGGTAGTTACTTTTCTGAAGCTTAAAGCGCTACCTTTTGTTTAATGCATGATGTGTGACAAGGTTTTGCTGATGCCTGAATGTATATCTTGTGCTTGACCTCATTTATCATTTATTTGTAGCAATACTGCTCTTGCCTGTTGCCTTGTCTTCCTACTGTTGGTTTCAACCTTTTTTTTTAATAGCATTTTTATGGACCGGATATTATTTAGCGATTATAATTTGCCTCGTTATTCTGAGATGTGACTGATGGCCTGAATGTGTTTTTATGATTTATAGGCTCCCCATCAGATTTCTATTGACTTCACTTTTGTTTCAATTTCTCTAATTTGCCATAGTCCTGATTTTTACCCGAGATAATTATACAAAAGCTCTGGTTCCCACCATTGGTTGGACTCTTGTTCTGAGATGTAGCACTGGACGACTCTTGCCATATGTAGAGTTACGTGGATTGTGCTACTCAGTTCATATTGGCTGCCTCTTTTTAGAATTAGCAGTTCAATTTGTATTAAATCCATTATTTACTGCTAATTGCTAAGTTTATACAAGCTATTTGGTTTTCTTTTGATATTTATTGCATCTGTGGTAGCTGGGAATGAGTGTTGGTTACTCGTGTGGCTGGTTTGCTCTTTTTTCTGTACATTTATTTATAAACTGCCCTATTCTTTGGGTTTTTGGCGATCAACCTGAAATTGTGTGGAAACTTGCATTGTTTTTGCCAGTCTCTCAAGTATGTAGTGCTATGCTAATATATTATGTTTACCTTGACAGTTTGTAACTATGCAAAGGGTAGATGGGTTGTTGATAAAAGGCGACCGTTGTATTCTGGCTTTAAATGTAAGCACTGGCTATCGGATATGTGGGCTTGTAGATTAACACAACGCCCAGAATTTGGTTATGAAACTTATAAATGGCAACCAGCAAATTGTGACATGTCGGAGTTTGAAAGATCTGCATTTTTGAAAAGGTGAGGAAGTTCTGATCTAACTTCTGCTTGAAAGATCATGGTTAATTTTCACATTTTGTTGGGCCAAAGGGCTCTCATAGTTGGTGGTTTGATTCCATTTCATTTTCTTCTCTGAACCATGGAAAGGAATAGATGTGAATTATTGCCCGGGTGCAAGTATCTGAACCATTTTTTATATTTGCAGAATGCAGGATAAAACGATTGCTTTTGTTGGCGATTCCTTAGGCAGGCAACAATTTCAGTCTCTCATGTGTATGGTTACTGGTGGTGAAGATATTCCTGAAGTTCAAGATGTGGGAAGAGAGTATGGTTTAAGTGCCCCACATGGTGCTGCTCGTCCGAATGGTTGGGCCTTTCGATTTCCGGAAACCAACACCACAATACTGTACTACTGGTCATCCTGCCTCTGTGACTTAGTGCCTCTGAACAGTAATGACCCCGCCTCAGAGGTAGCTATGCATTTGGACCGTCCCCCATCTTTCTTGAAGCAGTATCTCCACCAGTTTGATGTTTTGATTCTTAATACGGGCCATCATTGGAATCGGGGTAAGGTAAATGCAAATCGATGGGTGATGTATGTTGATGGGAAACCTAATCAGAATAGGAGGCTGGCGATGATCGGGAATGCTAAGAATTTAACAATTCATAGTGTTGCAAAGTGGGTTGATTCACAGCTTCCTTCTCATCCCCGGCTTAAGGCCTTTTTTCGGACAATTTCACCCAGGCATTTCTTTAATGGGGAATGGAACACTGGGGGGAGCTGTGAGAACACAACTCCTTTGGCTCGAGGGAGTGAAGTAAGTCAAGAGGAGTCAAGTGATCAGGTTATTGCAAATGCTGTCAAGGGCACAAAGGTGAATTTGTTGGATATAACGGCTCTCTCTCAGCTGAGAGACGAGGGGCATATATCACGTTATAGTATAAAAGCATCTTCTGGAGTACAGGATTGCCTGCACTGGTGCCTACCCGGAATTCCTGATACATGGAATGAAATACTTGCTGCCCAGTTATAGGTTGTTTCTCACCTCCCATGTAATCTTAAACCCCGTTTTAGTGAAATCAGTGGCCATATATGGCATTTGACAGCGCCATTGTTTATGTTTATCACGTTAGAAAGTAGAGTGAAATCTGTTGTTTATATGCTAGAGCCTAGAGGAGAGTGCATTAAGTTGTTAAGTAGGGTTAGGAAAGCCGTTACTTCCTATATATTTATCGTACCCTGAAATTTCAGGTTGATGTATTTTCACATTTATTTCTATCATTATAATGTCATCTGAAATTGATGATTTGGGATCAAATTATATTCATGGATCGCAGCTTGCCTTTTTGTTTAAAATTCTTGCCTTTCTACCAATTGAGTTAGAATTGCACCAAACTCAAACCATTTGCTTGTAAGTAGAGGTGGGCAATGTGCCGTGCTGAGCCACCGTGAGCCGTGCCTCGTTGTGCCTAGTGGAGGCTCGGGCCGGGCCGTGCCAGGCCTGCAACTTGGCGGGCCGTGTCAGGCCTGCAACTTGGCGGGCCGTGCCGTGTTGGGCCACCATTTGGCACACCCCAGCCCACGACTCGGCACGACCCACGTGCCTGGCGCGTCGGGCTGGGCCGGGCAGCGGGCCGCCCAAAATTTTCATTTATTTATATTTTGTTAAAAAATATTGATATATATTATTTTTGAACAACTTTTAAAATGAGTATATTTAAATAATTTATTAATTTATGTTTATGTTTTTGTATTATTATATTATAATTGTTCTTTTTATTATTCTTATTTTTGTTATTATAGTTCTTTTACTCGTTATTATTATTTATGTTAATTTTATTATTAATTTATTATTATAGCCGTTTTATGGTTGTTGAAAGTAGCGAAATATAGCCGTTTTGCATGGGCCGTGCCGGCGGGGCGTCCTGTGGGCCAAATTACCGTGTCGCCCACCGTGCCCTTGCCGATTTTTCAAAATTGTGTTCACGGGCCTCACGGCACGGCCCACGACCCACTCCTCGGTCACCGTGCCGTGCCGTGCCGTGCCGCTAGCGGGCTCGTGCCGGGCCGTGCCACCACCATGCCGTGCTCGTGCCGCTTGCGGGCTAGCACGACCCATGCCCACCTCTACCTGTAAGTGTCTTAGGTTAATGTGAGGATTTTGCACATCCATCGACGCATATGGTCAGTCACTTGATGCTTTTATACTGGTACATATGGTCAAGTCACTTGATGCGGCTTTGCTTGTAAAAGAGCCACTAGTTCTTCAATCTTTCCTGACATTTTGCCGATAATGAGAAGCCGCTTCCTATTGAAGAGGTACAAAGTACAGTATATGAAGAATGCAACAAATAAAATTGATATCTGTTATCTGTCCTCGATTAATAGGATAACCTTATGTTACATAGGATAAATAGTATCTTTACCATAGTTGGGTTATGCTAGCACTTCTCAGTGTCCACATTACTCAATACCAGGAAAGGGGTGTGCTAAATCCTCATACTTAAGGTGCCAATGTGCCATAAACATTATGAGTGACTGAAGTGAGGCATTTGATATAGTTATTTGCAACTTTCGAGGGAAGATTTCTCTGGTTTGCAAAATAGTAATCTCAGCCAGCAACGAGCTGTACGAATTAATCACAATTTCACAACACTTTGTTATTAATGTGATAAACACATCTTTGTATCAATATATGCTATTATTCGCCTAGACCTAGAAAATTTGACTCGATCCAAAACTGTCTCGATAAAAATGTGTCTTGAACACAAAATTGGAATCGGAAAAAGTTAGAAAATAAACAGGCCGAACTCGTTTAGTTTCGAAATCGACCTTATAGTTAAGGGATTACATTTGATTACTGTATGAAAAATTAAAAATTATGAAACTTGAAACCAACCAAACTGTCCGTGTTAACATGTCTATATTTACCCATTACTCGAATATAATATTTCGTACTCTTTACTTTTTAATTTTTTTTCAAGAGAGAAATCAAACATGCTATTTAAATCTTAGATGGGTGCAACCACGTAACCCGTCACACCGTAACACAATTAGAGCCCCAAACAACATGCTTTTAAAATCTTATATGGGTGCAATCACGTAACCCGTCACACCGTAATACAACTAGAATCCAAATCTGAAGTCCGAACCAACAACCTTAAACTAGAAGAAGTGAAGAACCAACATTTTTGCTGAACAATTCATGAGGTACCTTGATGGTTCAGTTACAGAATACCAGAATCAGATACGTCGTCGTCACATTCACATTCACTTAACGCCTTCATCATTTCCGTCCATCACGTTTCTCTCACTCCTCTCCTTCACCTTCACACCCTGCGCATTTTAGCACCCTCTAACATTTTTCAAATTTCACCTACATTATTATTTTTTATTTTATCATTTAAATTTTTGAATAATCACCAAAAAAAAAAAAAAAAAAAAAAATTTCTTCCTTCGTCCCATCTTCCGCCTTTTTCTAAAAAAAAAAAAAATCAAAACAAATTTCCTCTCTCTCTCTCCTCTTTCTTTCTTTCTCCTCCCAACGACGCCGGCGACCGTCGTTTCATCGGAAATTCTCACCACTCTCTGCAATTTCCGGTGATCTTTTCTCTCTCCTAGTTTCTCTCTCTTCCTTACTTTCTCTCTCTACAATCTGTAAGCTCCGATCCAAACGAACTCATCATCTTCTTCTTCATCAATTTCAATTATTCATCATCATTTTTAATTTGATTTAATTTAATTTGAATTTCTTCAACTGCATCGAATAGTTCAACTGAATCGAAATTTGTTTGATTGATTATTATTGTTTGATAATTTGACGAAAAGTTGTTGATTTACCTCCCCTGGCAGTCGTCATAGTCTGCCAGGGTTTTGTTGAATTAATGCGAAGAATGATGAAATTTAGGGTTAGGGTTAGGGTTAGGGTTTTGTTGAATTAATGGTGGTATTAGGTTTTTTTGATTGATTGAGGAAATGGTTCGATTATTAGGGATAACTATTGGGGAGCCGGATGAATTTCCTAGGGAGATTACTAGGAATAATTTGATTGCTAGTAGTGAAACTGTTGGGGAAAATGGGTGGCTTATTCGGTTTTTCGATTCGGCTTTTTTCTGTGAGTGGATTGCTGTTAGTTACTTGTATAAGCATGAACACTCAGGTGTTAGGGATTACTTGTGCAATAGAATGTATACGCTTCCGTTGTCCGGAATCGAGAGCTATTTGTTTCAAATATGTTATATGATGGTGCATAAACCGAGTCCATCGTTGGATAAGTTTGTGATTGATGTGGCATCGAAGTCGTTGAAGATTGCATTGAAGGTGCATTGGTTTTTGATGGCTGAGATTGAGGATTCGGATGATAATGAGGGGATTAGTAGGATCCAAGAGAAATGCCAAATGGCGGCCACGTTGATGGGGGAGTGGCCGCCTCTTATTAGGCCTCCGAATGAGGTGGTTGGGGGGTCTGGAGGTAAGAATCAGATGCTTAACAAACTGCTTTCTTCGAAGCAGCGGCTTTTGTCGTTGACATCATCACCGCCATTGCAGAAGTCGTTCACTTTCTCGCCCTCATCAGGGTCTAATGTGGGAGATGAAAGCGGGAAGATGTCGCCTGATGAGAATAACAAGTTTATTAAGAAATTTATGCCAGGGCAGAAAGTCAGGGATGCTTTGCTCTTTAGGAAGTCAGCTGAGAAGGAAGATGATGATTCGGAGAAGGATGGATTCTTTCGAAGGCTGTTGAGAGATAGTAAAGATGAGAACGAGGAGTTGACAGCCAGTTCTGAGGGTTTTTTTAAGCGGGTATTTCGTGATAGTAAGAGTGATTCTGAAGAGAGGTCGGTTTCCCGATCAATAGATGATGATGAGAAAGAGAATTTCTTCAGGAAAATTATTAAGGAAGTGTTTGATGATAAGAAGGATGGCAATGAGAGAAATGATGATGAAGACAGGGACGGGACTAGAAAGTTGATTGATGATGAAGAGAAGGAAGGATTTTTTAGGAAGCTCTTTAAGGATAAATTTGAGGACAAAAAGGACGGGAATGATGGAAATGAAGATGAAGATAAGGTTTGCTCCAAGTCGGTCAAGGACGATGATAAAGAAGGGTTCTTCCGGAAGTTATTCAAGGAAAAATCCGAGGATAAGAAAGATGGAAAGGAGAGGAAAGATGATGAAGATGATGAGAAGGAAGGTTTTTTTCCGCAAACTTTTTAAGGAGAAGGTTGAGGAGAAGAAACATGGCAACGACGTCTTCAATGATGAAGACAAGGTTCATGCCAATGGTGACGAGGAGGAACCTTCAGATTTTCCACTGTTCCGCAGGTTGTTTCGTGTACATCCTGAAGATGCAAAGACTACAGCTTTAGATGCTAATAGTATTGAAGGCAGTCCAGGAACAGAAAATTTCTTTCGCAAGTTGTTCCGAGATCGTGATAGATCTGTGGAAGACTCTGAGTTGTTTGGCCTAAAAAAGATAAAAGAGGTTAGTTGACTATCTTGTTCATTTGAATCTTAAGTGTTGGTAACGAAGATATAATATTAGCCTTTTGTGCTTAGTGTGTGGCTTTAACTGATTCAAACTGTCTGGTTATATTGCGTGACCTTTGATTGTCTTTCTAAGTCCGAAGTGTGTACACGTTAGAGCAGGGAAATTTCTAGTAGTATGTATAGAAATGTGGACTATTGCTTGCAATAGCTCAACTTATTCTACAGAATAGTAGTATATTAATGTGTATTTTACACAGTTCTTGTTACATTCATCTTTTGCTGAAACAGGCTGAATGGCACTGTAATGAAGAGGATAATGATATATGTATTTGTAAGAGCTTTGCTATAGGCAAACTGAAAGATATATGGCCTTTCGTAACGCTTATGTTGTTGTTCCTGTTTCAAAATTGTTAAATATGGAGGAGTGAATAGATTGTAATGTCTATGACTGTTGATTATTGAGTGGTTTCATGTATTTCCTCCTTATTGCTATCTTGATCAATTATTTATTGTTGTATCTGTTATCTTATCCTTCATGTTTATCTTTATTGCATTGTCATTTAATGTGACAGAAAAATCTTGGTTCAGTCGGTTCACCCTCGCAACAGAATCAGAAAACAACCTCGAAGCCTCCACTACCAAATGGTGCTGCATCACAGTTCCGTAAAGGAGCATATCATGAGTCTCTGGAATTTGTACATGCACTATGTGAAACTTCCTTTGGCCTAGTGGATGTGTTTCCAATTGAAGATCGCAAATGTGCGCTGCGTGAGGTTGGTTATTTTGTTTTGGACTTTTGTATTGTGTCTTTAATTGCAGTCTAGTCTTCTCATGTATTCAGTTGTTGATATGTAATGCCGATATCTCCAGTCCCTTGCAGAGATCAATTCCCATGTGGCTGAAGCTCAGTCTAGTGGAGGTAACAATGATTTTCACTTAATCATGTCTCGTAAACAATATACCTGTGAATTGATTATTAGTTTTGAAATGTGTTCCAGTCACCATAGCACTTTCTTTGCCCTATAGTTTCAATAGTGTTAAAGATTTGAAATTTTTGGAGATTTATGAAACTATAGCAGAGACCTTATTTGTTGCCTGTGGTCACGCTCTCCAATTCTGGATTAATGTTATCTTTAAGTTGTAGAAAGTACATGAAGTGGCAAGTGCAAGGCAAACACAATACTAGATATATCTGTATGTGTGATTTTTGATGTGGAAGAGTCATCATTAATGCATTGCTGATAAGCTCAATTTTGCTGTGCTGCACTTTGACATCTTGGAATTTTTAAGTGGCTGTAACAATCCACTAATTAACGAACAACGGTTTGGTATAGACTGTGCAGTAAACAGGCCCTAGTGTGCTTATTCTTGCCGCAGGTCAATATATATTTTTATTAGAAAATAGTATTTTTGATTTTGCTAGTCCATACTTTTGATGAGAATTTGGGTTTTTAACAGTATTTTCTATGTCCTTTTGTCCCATATATAGTCTAATATTGGATAAGCAAATTTGGTCTTTAATGCTGTGATATTTATATAAAAAGTCTTCACGTGTACTCAGTAGTGGAAATTTTGACAATACAAATGGGACTTGCAAAAGTTATGATATGACTATACAATTGTGACAGAGGGAGTAATTTGAAAGGCGAGTTCCTTCGTTTGAAAACTTACATAGGACTAATTATTGTTACTCCTGTTGCTGTAGGTATTCTAGAAGTTAAAGTATCAGATTTATTGCCTGTTGGCAATTTGGCTTACTGCTATTTTTTGAGGACTCCTTTTTTCTTCTGTATATGCTCATGGCAAACATTGACTATTCAATTTGTTTTGCTCTTTTTAAGTTTAAGACACATATATTTACTTCAAGTGTTTGTGGCTATGCATATCTTAGGCTGTGCAGCTTCTATGTGTTAATCGTGCTTATTATATTGCTGTTTCCAGGTTTTTTTTTTCTTTTTTTTATTTATTTATTTGTTGTCTAAGGGGATTTGTATTGTTGGCAGGTGTGTGTTTTCCTATGGGGAAAGGGGTTTATCGTGTCCTTAATATACCTGAAGATGAAGCAGTACTTTTAAATTCCCGAGAGAAAGCACCTTACCTTATTTGTGTGGAGGTTTTGAAATGTGATGCTCCGAGGTAATTTTCTTTTCTTCAGTATTAGTTTGAGATATTGCTGTATTCTTAATGTGTAGCAACATTTTTAATCCTTTCAGTTATGTCAAAGATACATCAAACTCACATAAGCTATCTAAAGGAGGAATTCCTCTAGCAAATGGAGACGCACTATTGCCAAAGCCTCCTCCATGGGCTTATCCATTGGGGACGGTACAGGAGGCCTACCATAATGATGACAGGATGTCAAAGTCAACCTCTCAAGTGATTGATCGAGCTATGGGTCAATTTAAGGATGCGAAAGTTAAATTTGTTAGTGTCAGCCTATTGGTGGAGGATCAATGCTGTGATCAACCCTTTCATGGACAGAGTAATTTTTTGAGGGTTGGACGACTTGCTGATCAGGATTATGTCAGAGTCGTGTTGACAGCTGATCCTAGACTTAGATTTGAAGATATTGAAGATCAAGCGCCACCACGCAGAAAAGAGCATCGGCGTGTTCCAAGTATGATAGCTATGGAAGAAGTAAAGGTGTGAAACCTTACTTGCTCTTTTTTATTCCAGTATATGCTATTTGGTTTCCAAGATTGATCCGGGTTCCAGTGTTTTTACTTTATTTCAAATACTTCTTTGTTGAGTAATATTTGAAACCAAGTAAAAAGTTATTTCTGACTCTGTATTTAGATAGTAGCGGCCTAGTGGGTAAGCTATCTATTTTTATCTCAATCCCTCAAAACAAACACGCGATATGTGGGGATTGGCCCAGGATTCCAAATCTCGGCTGTCAATCCTTATTTAGGGTAATATATTGCAAAAACTTTGGAACCTAACCTTTAGGATAGTTATGTTTTATGATTTTTTTTGTACCATTTCAACTGTTAGCCGTGTTGTACACCTATATTAGATAGTTGCTTTGAAAACTGACCTCTAACTGCTAGCAAACCTATTGACAAGCAACAACTACTACTATGGGCCTAGGGCAGCTAGCTACCACAACAGATGTTTGGCTTCAGTGTCAATAATATTGGATTCCTTAAATATCATTGCTTATGAGTTATGACATCCAACTGCAATTAGATTACTCAGTTTTTGATTATCATTCACTCACCTTTGTTTTATATCCCATTTTTCCTTCTTTCTCGTGTTATTCATGCTCTATATCCCTTAAGAATCCATGCATTAATGGTTAATCTCTGCTTTTTTCTTGCTCTTTTTCTGGCATGCTGTTTGAGAACCTTTTTAATTCCCTTGAAAATGCAGGGTCACTGTTATCCATTCCTCATGGAATTTTGTAGCATTTTTTTTAATAGTTTCTCTCTTTTTCTGTTGCACATGCCTGCATTTCAGTTATTTGTTTTACTGTGAGATTGATTCTTGCGTGACTGAAGGCCTCTCATTTATGCATAATTTCTGTGTGTACGTAATTACGTCACTATTGGTAACCATTTTCTTTCATTGATATTGCTTTAGTTGTGATAATTATAATATATTAGAAACTGATTCAACTGCTTGCGTGCTTCTGTAAAATGGTGCTGTTTCTTTGAATAAATTGGTTCAGCTGCGTGGAAAATTAAGTGAGTTGGCATTGGCAAATTGCTATAGTATTGTGAATTTCCCTTTTAACTCTATTCTTAAGATAGTTAAATACTCTTTTTCCTTTAATTACTGAACTTATACAACAGTGCAGATAATTTTTTGAGGATCTGTGTCAACCTTAAATAATGGAGGTGGAAAGTTTATGCTTGGTTCAGTGAATTAGATTTTTTAGCTTAAGTACTTGAGTTTATGGGGGTCCCTTAGGCCCGTAGTTTTGGAATTGTTGGGCCTTGTGGCTATGAACAATGAAAATCTACCTATATAAGTTTGGTAAGAATAGGGAATTTCTGCATGTAGTTTTAACATTTCATTTATTCAAGCTTCAATTATTTTTATATTGGAACTACCTACCTATATCCTCCCTATTCATGCTGGCCTTCTGGGACATGTGCTGCAGAGAGAAGCTACTTTATGCAGCTCATGGGTTTGAAAGTCCTTTTCTGAAGGCATAGAAACAGGACTGGGAAGAAGAGTTGGAACTTAATATATAATAGATACTTGCTGATAACGATGGCTTCATGATTTCCCCCTCTTTGAACTTTTAATATAGGATGATCTATCTTATTGTTGTTGTCTACTCCATTTTCACTTTTTGTTGTCATCATTGTTGTTGAGGATGCTAAGTTTTCTTTTTGCCTATGTTAATATACTTCATTTCTTTTTAGATGACACACTTTGAAATTTACACTATTCAAACACTACACATTGTTTATTTTTGGTGATTATTTCTTAAGTAAAAACAGTCATGTGGGGTCTTGTTAGATTCGTCTCAATTTGTACGTTTCAAATATCAAATTTTTATAATTCTTACATATTGAAGAAATTCACGTTCAAAGGTATGTATTGGTAAGTATGAAAATTGGAGTATTTTATATAAATTAAAAACGAAGTATGTTTCAAAGAAACTTTTTCTTCTTCTCGATGTAGATTTATTACTCCACATCCTTCTAATCCTTCCAGCCCTTCTTTCACCGCCTGCTTTTTTATCATTTGCTTTGAAACACTTCTAATTTAACTTCATATACAGGCTGCAGCAGCTAAAGGCGAAGCCCCCCTTGGATTATCTCTGAAAGGGACTAGCCAAGAATCATCAGATGCACAACACAAGGTTCTTAAAACTTCCTTGAATATTAGCTTGTTTCAGCATTACGCCATAAATACAGGTAAACTTGGTCATTCTTTTGATTTTATCATCATTGTGCAGGCTGCCAATGGTGGTCCTCCAAAGCCCACTGATGCATTGTCTGGTGAACTTTGGGAAGTCAAAAAGGAGAGGATCCGCAAATTGTCAGTTCATGGAAAAATGCCTGGTTGGGATTTGCGCTCTGTAAGTGATGCAGTGGTTATATTCTTATCTTTTTGAAATGTTGATTCAGATGCTGTTTAACTGTGACCTCGTATGTCAGCAACTGTTGATAACTTTAATTTCTGTAAGAGGCCTTGGGGATTAGCATTGTTTTCACTGCAGACGATGATGATTTTTTGACATTGCTCACCTTTTACATGTCTAGTCGTTTTTGAACATTGAAAAATGCTTAGTAATGTTTAGTACCATGGATAGTAACTCGATGGACTTTGAAGATATCTGAATTTATAAAGTTTAAAATTAAGGCACCTTCCATTAAGTTTGAACAAAGCTATTGAACTGTTGCTACAGACTGATTTCATATACTCTCTCTCTCTCTCTTTTGGGGTGCTGGCAATTATACTGCCGTCTTTCTTCAATTTGTATATTCCTTCCTTTTTAAAAAGATAAAGAAAAATAAGTTTTTTATAATTCCTATGCTTAAAGATTTATAGTTAATTTTATTAATTTAGTTTTTGGTAATACTATACTTCATTTGTTCTTTTATAGTTTGCACATTTTGACCTTTTCCATCATTAACTAACTCTACTAACTACCTTTTGTGATTTATTTGATAAGAAAAATCATAGTCATGTGGGAGTTTGTTAAATTCGTCTGAATGTGTGTTTCCAAAATATCAACCTTATATAATTTACGAACTGATAATTAAAGATAATAACAATTGAATTTTGGCATTGGCAAACGTGATAAAAGAAATGTGTCAATTAAAAAAAGAGTGGAGGAAGTATGACATTTGCATTCATGCTTTATAATTTATTCTCCCCAAAATCTAGCAAAATAATATAAATTGATTTTTATATTGGCTAATCTTTACTGTCTATCATAATTGCATTGCTTTTCTTATAAGTTGTCATATTCTTTTGTGATGAACATGTTTTTTGACCTCATTATCTTAGTTAGACATTCGAAATGCCTTGGCTATTGTCTTTAGTCTGTTTAAGAAAGTGTTCGATACATCCTGTTATATTTCGCTGCAGCCATATTATCAGCCCATCAAAAGACTTCATTTTATATTTTAAAGTATCTATTTTTCTGTATCCATATTGTCAGTCCATTAAGAGATTTCAGTTTATTAATTTTGTAGGTTATTGTAAAAAGTGGTGATGATTGCAGACAGGAGCATTTGGCTGTTCAGCTTATCTCTCACTTTTATGGTGTGTTATCTTCACTAACTCCTGATCAAACAAAATTTGTATTGGCCTTATATTGATGCTTCTGCTAGCTAGGACTGGTCAAATTGTCCTCAAATTTATAGTCTGATTACTATGATATTTGCTCTCTACCCTTTTGCTTTTGGACTTTACTTTGATACCGTGGGCTTCAATGTGCAAAGCTTGGGCTGAAAAACAATTGCCTGTTAGGTGTGACATGTAGATGAATCTATTTATTTAATTGGAAAGACACTTGTCTAGACTTCAGAAGTTCAGATTACCCTTACAGGGTTTTTCTCTATTTATTGCCTTATGACCTTATCGCCGAGCTTTTCATCAAGAGATTGGAGATTTCTATGGCATTTGCTCCCTCAAGGCAGGTTGCTGGCGCAGATTTTGATCTGCATCAATATAATTACACAAAAAGGTGTGGCTTACGGATTATGGTTCGTGTGAGAGGTTTTCAATGTCTTATTTATGATAATGAGACTCGATTTATACAATTTTATCACATTTCGTTTCGACTTATATTTTTTCAAAGTATCAATTTTTTAGTTTTTACTTGTAGATTATTATATTAATTATCAAAGTTGTGTTGACAAGTGCGAAAGTCGAACAGTGTTGATTTAATGAATTGGAGGGAGTACTGCATAAAAGACATCTAAAAGATTTAAAGTTTAAACTGAAACACTATATCGTTATATTGTTACTAATTAGCTAATAATTTAATATTACTAGTACAAAGATGCAGTTGTGCAACAAAGGCCAAAACAAGGAACCTCACATTTCTTGATTGATTCTTCTTAAAATCTATTGTCATGGATCTTTGCTAAGCTATAGCAGGATGCTTTCATTATTTACTATATTGGTTTATAATTTGTTCAATTGGTCATTGTCCTGGCATTCACTGTTCTGCTGTTATACAAGCTACTTATTGCCACGTTAATGTTGCCTTTATTCTGGTTGATATTTGATACCTCTTCTTGAAATTTTGTTACTTCAGATATTTTCCAGGAAGCCGGACTCCCTCTTTGGCTGCGCCCTTATGAGGTCTTGGTAACCTCATCTTATACTGCTCTTATTGAGACAATTCCTGACACGGTAACTATGAAGATGCTAGTAATTACTTTACCTTTAGCAATCATCTACTCTGTTTAACTGACTCTATTGTGCACAGGCCTCAATTCATTCAATTAAGAGTAGATATTCTAATGTCACAAGTTTGCGTGATTTCTTCAATGCAAAGTATCAAGAAAACTCTCCAAGTTTTAAACTTGCTCAGGTAATTGTAGCAGCTTGCCTGTAGTAAAATTGTATTTAATTGAGAAGATAGAAGTCACCTTTATTGTGCTTGTTTCACAATTTTGTCTTCCTTTCCTTTAATTTTCTTCTCCTCTTTAAAAGTACTGTAATTCTGTAAATTGTTATGTCACACATGAGGTACATTTGTTGATTTTGCGTATAATTCTGAGGGCAAACCTAGCCTATCTTTATATAGGCTTACCTTATGACAGTGTCAATAAGGGCTGTTGCAGATAGTTAATATATGGTGGTAAACATGCCAAAGGTGAAGATGATATGCCCTGGGTTCATGTTGGTTCACTGATCTGAGCTGTTATCAAATGTTTTTGCAACCACTAGAAATTTCTCTCTCTGATTTGACTTTTTTTTTTCTTTTTCTTTTTGTGGTTTGATTTAGAAATTTAAATATAAGGTTTACATAGCTCCCACTTACTAATTGCATTGTATGGTATTTGAAAAAGGTACTTTTCTGTGATTTGTTTTTCGTAGAAAACCATCCAATACTGTTATTTTTGAAGCACATAGTTTCCTTGTTTACCTCGTATATGGGGTTGATTACACTCTTAATCTTTAATTTTGACTGATTCAATATTTTAATTTTAGAACCAAATAGTTTCTCTGATCTAACTTTAGTTTTGGACTGGTTATAGCTAAGGAAATTAAAGCTAAAAAAAAATATAAATCAGAGTCAAATCCATGCTTTATAAGGGCTGCGCATGCATATAAAACTCAAAGCTCACTAGTTTTAAGTCTTGGGAAGCTTTAGCAACCAAATCAGCCCCATTATCAATGTCATTGTATTTTACAAATTCTATTGTATTATGTAGCGCACCTGCCTAAAGAACTTCCATGATACATCTCTGCTTTTCTGTAGGTCTTAGGTAACCTCAGAAGGCTATGATGAATCTAGGTCCTGGTGCCTCTCTACACCAAGATTTTGACTTCTGTACTTGTTATTCCATCCTAATAAGACAGACTTTTAGCTTAATCTGATACTTTAAAGACTTTTAGGATAATTACGAGCCATTGACATTTGAATTTTGGTAGTGGTTGTTGGAAGGTACTAGTGAATCGGGGCAGCCTTTTTGTAATCAATTTTCCCTGGGCAACTAGAACTTTTTGTATGACTGGCGCAATTCATGGTGTTATTTTGATGGGTTTTAGTAATATTTTAAACAAGCTAAATTGACAGTTAACTTAATTGGTACATGATGGTATTATATTTATACAGGGTACTTTATAGGGTGATCAATGTTTTTTTCTCCCACTTGGTATTGGCCCATTCTAGTTGCACCTTGATTGTTTGATACTTCGATTAAGTGGCATACTAAACAGGTAGAATCATAATATATAGTAGAGCTTTGATGTTATTCTACTTGGTAAAGAGATAAGGACCTTTTGAATTTTGTATGCACAAATTATGGCGTACTTTTTTCCCTTTTTTTTTATTTTTTTATTTTTTTTAAAGAATTCCTGTTTGACTATCTGAGTGACCTTTGTTTGTGTTTCATTTTTGGCAGCGGAACTTCGTGGAAAGTATGGCGGGATACTCTCTTGTCTGCTACCTTCTACAGGTATTTATAATTGTTGTTTTTTTCCTCTTTCAACCCCAGGCTACCATTTCTGTTTGCTGAAATGTCAGAGAACTTCCATTGAAATGCTTAATTGATGAAATGTTGTCATATTGAAATTAGCTATGTGACCAATAGTTTTTCAGTTGATGTATCTCTCTATATCATGATTAATTGATAATTTCGCTTGTCTTTTGTGGGTCCACAAAATGGTTACCCCTGGTGCTGCCCTCACCTGGGGCTCAAGTTCAGAAGTTGTTGCCCCCTCTCTTCTCTGAGATAGAAACATATTTACCTGTTAAAAAATACTATTTCCGACTCTTCTGGGGCTAATATGTTTTGGTCACTAATGGACCTCTGACTTCATGTACTTGTTCTTTTGCTCCATAGATCAAGGATCGGCACAATGGTAATCTTTTGTTGGATGAAGATGGTCATATTATACATATTGATTTTGGATTCTTGCTGTCAAATTCTCCTGGAGGGGTTAATTTTGAAAGTGCACCTTTTAAATTGACTCGTGAACTTCTTGAGGTATAGTTTGAGGGTTTCATTGTTTTGTGCTCATGCTTGATCCTCTTATATTGATCTATATGCGCAACACTTGTGTTAATGTTGCCCGTTATGTGACTGTATTTTATTTGATTCCTAGGTGATGGATTCTGATGCTGAAGGAGTCCCCAGTGAGTTTTTTGACTATTTTAAAGTAAGTATCTCTTCCTCTTGCAGCCTGAAAATAAGGCATGAATGAAATTTATTAACAAAACATACTATGCATTCAGGTCCTCTGCATTCAAGGTTTTCTCACTTGTCGCAAGCATGCAGAGCGAATAATCCTTCTCGTGGAGATGCTGCAGGTAGGGGCAAATAATGTTTATAATTTCTGTTATCATTGTTCTGCTTGAAAAATAACTTATGTGTGTTCACTTGAAATATGCTCATTTCCTTTTCGCATTTATAATTTCCATTAATCCTTTGGGACTTTGACAAGATAAATATTTGATTTATTTTGGAAAAACCTGATGTTATTCGGATGAAATTCTTTTCTGTTCTTTTTATGTTCTGATGTCAGTTCATGTGTAATCGCACTATGTTTCCATTTCAGGATTCTGGATTTCCATGCTTTAAAGGTGGACAGCGAACTATACAAAATCTGAGAAAACGTTTTCATTTAAGTCTTACTGAAGAGGTTTGATGGTTTTATTTACCTCATTTTCTCATTGTTTAGTTGCATCTTTTTGATTTTTTGATAAATTAAATATTTATTGGGGTGCTGCAGCAATGTGTCTCCTTGGTTTTATCCTTGATAAGCAGCAGCTTAGATGCATGGCGAACAAGACAGTATGATTATTATCAGAGAGTTCTAAATGGGATATTGTAATATCACACTTTTAATTTGGACATGGTCATCTTTTAAATTGGATATTGGGATGTCACACTTGGAGTTTGGACGTGGCCATATAAGGTCATTGATTCGTATGGAAATGACTCTTAATCGAAGCAACTTTGATTGAAGTTTGTCAAGTGACCCTGTAGTCCAGGTGAGTACTTGCCATTGTGTCATTGAGTGCTTTGGGATAGAGAAAGAAGGTAAAGGTTTCCATGCAGTCTGATTTGTCGCTCAATTATACTGGATGGGAGTATTTGTGACTTCATCGGCATGAAAACTCAACGGAAGTGGAGACGACTAGGTTGGGCTTGTGAAGGGATCATATTTCGTGTTTGTCCGTTTTCCTTGTTTCATATCTTGTGAAAGCTTTGTTGGCTGGGTGACAGTTACCCTTTGGCTCAAAATGAGTCAGAACTCTCACTCATTATCTGCATCCTGAGTTCCTGACACTGTACATAGTGATTCTGCAGAGGGTGAAATGCTCGTCTCGAGTTTTTCATCTACTTAACCTCAGACACAAGCATTAACCTATACCACCATCTAAGTTGTACATTTCGGAATACAATTTGAAGAAGGTCAAATGGCTTTGCTGGAACATGTTTACCAGAGTGGGCACTTGATGCCATCTTAGCTTTCATATGGTTTTATCTGTGAATTTTTGTATACATTTTGTGAGCAAGTTGGCCTCTTTCTTGAGTGGTCTCATGTGTATAAATCCTTTTTTTCTCCTTTTTTTTTTTTTTTTTTGTTTTTTTTTTGTTTTGATTTTTTTTTTTTTTTTTTTTTATATTCTGCTTTTACACCTTTCTTTTTCTTTTTTTTTTTGGTAGGTTTTTAGTGATTCGTTACCCCTTTGATAAGGAAAAATATTTTTCCTTTTATTATAATTGGTTTGATGGTGTGATTAGGATAACTTGTTAGCACAATGTACATGCAAAGAATTTTCATTTCTCTCTGATATGAATGGATTTGAAAGGTTGTTGGATCTGGTTATTGAATGCGGCATCTGATCTTGATTGACATAACCATCTAAACTCGTGTATCTGATTTAATGTTTGTTCCCTAGGACTAAAGGCATAATTGTTACAAAAATAATTCATAGCTCATATAATCTTCTCCCTGCCACAATTACATGCTTCCAATAGGAGCAACGAGCAAGGAACACTGGGGCCTCAGTTAAAACAATGTGCATTTGTATTATATGTATGCTTGATGCGCTGCAGTCGAGCATGCTTAATGTGGACCACGCTAGCACCCAGTTTGGGTTGGCAATGCCGGGATACAATAGTAACTTAAGTACTGATGTTATCACATGTTTTAAAAGAGAGACCTTTCTGTCAAAAAAAAATGAAGAGAGACATGTACTTTGGCTAAGTTTCGGAGATTGTAGATAAGAACTCTACATATAACATAATACCAACATAATACCATAATGAAGAGAGACATAACATAATACCTCCGTTGCATGTTATGTGCAACAATTGAAATTTTATATCTTACAAAAAATACCCAATTGTTGCACATAATGTGAAACGAAGGGAGTATGTCGAAAGTATTGAATCAACCATTCTCAGATACTAGAGTAAAAGTTTCCGATGAACTCATTATCACTATTCTAGCAAGGGTTTTTTTTATACAAGAAGATGGAGTGCTTTCGAAATGTTATGGTTTTTTTTTATCTTCAGTTGGATGTTCATTGTCAAAAGCAAATTTTCCATTCATAGAGAAAAAAGCAATCAATTTCTGCTGAGAACAAGGGTCGTTAATTATGCCTTGCTCTTACTTTCTACACACAAACTACATATTCTACAAAGCCAATCCTACAATATTGCAACAATACACAAGTGGGGAAAAATGAGTAGGAAAGTAAAAAGACGGAGACACAGCTATCTCGATTCAATTGCATGAGTTTCTGAGCCTCTTAAGAATGATCTGCGCCACCAAATCTGGAAAGCTTTGCTAAGATTAGGGCATTCAGTTCCATGCTTAGAGAAACATCTAAACCATTCCATGAACAATGCATACTGCTGCTTCAGAGGAAGTGTAAGGAGGGATTGACCCATAGCTTCCTCCAATTCCCTCACATTCAATCCCTTTCTACACCTCTGCAACCAACCAAAGTCCAGAAGCATAGGACTAAACCACGAGTTGAGAAGCCCAAACCTTGATTCAGCCTGGCATTGCAATTTCCTTGTCCCCATGGCAACAAACAGAACTGCCGAGAGACGGCTTAGTTCATACCTCACCATAGGTGACGCTTTTTGATGCATTTCAAGTAAATCCTTTTGACAGGCCCACAAGTCAACGAAATCTTCTGCCATCTGACGATCGAGTAAGATTTCTAACAACCAATTAATGTTTTCAACCTGCCACGATATGGACTCAATTAAGGGTTTTTCTAAGTTTTTTTTGCTACTAGCCTGCTCAAGAGGGGCAGTGTCAGTGGCCTCTTGGAAAAGGCTAATCAGGGAAGTTATGCTACACCTACAGAGGGAGTAGAGATCCTCTTTGCTGATATCAAGATAATCTTTCTCATAAACTGAGCTTTTAGATAAGAGACCCGTAACCATGGATTTGAGCTCATTTCTTGCTTTGGCATTTCCACAAGTGGTGATGGAACGAACAATCTGGCTTGCCAAATTCTGCTGAGGAGAATTACAATCATTGAGGTTGAGCCTAGAGAATATCTCATTATTAGTTCCATCATCAAACTTGAACTTTGTGAAGAGTCTCCTAAGCTTCTCCTCCTCTTCCTCCGTCCAAGGAACAGCCTCAAGATACTTTAAGCAGGAGTGAATGCCTCGGTTGAACTTGATGCTTGCCGATACCTACAGGCAAAAAAATTCAGGACCAAGAAGAATGCTAATGTTTTCTAAAATGTTATGATATTTAGTCCAAGCATCTCTAAAAGAACAAAATAGTAGAATTCCAACCAAAAGACTTTTATTTTCCCGTTTCTTATAGTAGAAACACTATCTTTTACTCTGGTACAAACTTCTCAAGATAGGCATATAACCAGCTATAAACACAGCTTTGACATGTTTCTCACTTTTCCAAGGGCTACATGCAGCATACACTCTCAATCTGATAACACATCTACCTGAGTTCATTACTCACCAAAAACCTAATGAAACATGGATGAAATAAAAATGTGACCATCAAGCCCTCTTGAATGTAACTAATCCACAGTATTATCACCCCCGCACACATTGAAAGTTACATCTACATAAAAGCAATAGGTAAGGAATTAATGCATATTATTGTTTAGTGAGGACGCTGAAATTACCAAAAAGATAAAGCTAAGATGAATAGATGATAGGATTTGTCATCAACACATATGGTCACATATATCCAACTTTGCAAAGATGGTATCAAACAGGCAGAGCTTTCCCACAGTTTCATCTAGACGACTTCATAAAACATTACAGGTTTTCTGGCATTCTCTGACTAAGGGAATGTAAAATCTCTTCTCTTTTTTTTTTCAAGCTTTAGAAGACCATCAGAAAACAAAAACGGTTATGCTTGCACAAATGACAACCAGCAGCAGGATATCGGTCAACACAGGGAGAGCTGACAACCATCAGGAGGATATCGATCAAGACAGGGAGAGCAGGGAAACCATACAAACTTATGAAGGTTCTTCTAACACTTCACAAAATCTCACCAACATGCATTATATTACTTTCGCAGTCAATTTTAACGGCTTCCAAATTTCATTATGCACCGTTGCAGCATTGAATGATCAAATGCGACCTTAGGTAAAAAATGTGAAGCCAGTTTGTGTAAATTACTCACACACAGCACCCAATTACATTAATGTCTCCAGTCTCATAGAAAGGCCACCAATTACAATGCCACACAAATTCTATCACCTTCTCAATTCCCCTATAAATTGATTGACGCAACATTTTTCTTTCACATTGTTTAGTAACTATAATGACCAAGATATTCAAAAGCATTCAAAGTTCATAAGTATAATTCATCCATCGCATTCTATCCTATACATGAAACCCACCTCAAATCTACACTTCTAAACTTGCAAATGTAAGCTTATATTTGATAGTTCTAAGCTAGCCTATATAAGAGCATTGATGGTTTAGGCTGGAGATAAAAGCACAACATGCTATGCTGTTAAAATCTAATTACACTAAGGTTCAACACGTTAGAATCCCATGCCTACTCTAACATAATAAATAAATCACTGTGTGCATACAAAAGAGGGGTTAAGATAATTACAATAATTATAATTCAGTTCTTAGCTCAACGTATTTGAATATCAAAAGCTAAAGCATCTATGTTGTAGAGCAATTAAAAATGATTCACAAAAGTATAGACAATATCTAATGAGGTAAATCAATGACCCCTCAGTCATTTCACAAGCATCAGAAATAAATTGACAACAAAACTACTCAAAGATAACATTAAACCATAACCAAATAGCTTCAAGAGATCAAAAACATATAATGTATACCTCAAGAATATCGATGGTGCGAAAAGCTCCAATCTTAATGAGCTTCTTAGTGATATCATCTTCAAACATAAGCTCAATAGTCTCCCTAAAAACACCCAAATTCTCAACCTCAGGAACCTCAATCCTACAAAACCCACCATTCTTCTTGGAATTCTTAATCAACCCATCAAACAAACAACTATTTTCCCCCAAAACCTTAGAATTTAACTCCAAAACCAAACACCCACCACCATATTTCCCCTTCAAACTCAACCTCACATCAAACACACCTTCCTCCTCACTAACCCCGCCATCATCCAAACCCCCATTTTCTCTCTCCTCCCCCAAATCAACCTTCCGAGTTGAACCCAGTTCCTGACTCAGTTCCTGCTCCTGACCCACATTGCTAATTTTAGGCGGAATCATATCCGAATCAATTGGGGAAACCCGACCCGGAGATAGAATCCGACGACGGTCGATCCGACTAACTATACCCAACCCAGATTTGGAGCTCTGAGGTGAATTAGGGAAAGAATTAAGGGATTTTGACAAGGTTTCAGAAATGGGTGGACCCACAATTTTGTGGGGTGTTTTGGAAGAAGAAATCGAAAGGGTTTCAGGGGATTTTGGTGGGCTTTTGAAAGAACAACACCATGAAGAATAAGATGGTTTTGCAGTGGTTGTAATGGCGGTTTTCCGGCGAGATTGTTGTTCCCGGCGACGACCCTTTTGAGGATTCCGGTAAGAATCCATTGAAATGGGGCTAGATCAAAGAAATTGCAGAGCAAAATTGAGGGAGAAAAAGGGGAATTAGATTGCTTGAATTAGGGTTATGGAATCACTGACAAGTGAGTTGGAAAGAGGAGGAAAGAGAAGAAGAGTGAGAGTAGTAAAATTGGACTATTGAAGTAAGGAATTGAATAGTTTAGGGAGAATCTTGGATTATTGTTTGATTATTTTGTTTGTTAGTTTTGTTTGGTAATACAAGTATCCGTTTTCTTGTTGGACAGAGTTGCAGTTTGTGAATGGAAGAGAGAGAAGATGAAGAAGAAGGTGGGGGTAGTGTCAAGAGTGGTACAAGGGTTAAAATTAGGAAAATGTGTTTGATTCCAAATTAGTGAAAATAATGGCATTATGTGTGTAATTAGAAAGGTTTTAAATTGTTGATAATAATCTTGGATTTTGGTAATCTTTCGTTGTGGAGAAAGATTGATATATCGGTGATTAATCAGTTGAAATTATAAAGTTAACTTTTTGATGATGTAATCTAATGATGTATTAATCTAAATAATTGTTATTGCGGCATTTAAGTTGTTCGGGTCTAGTTGATTCAGTTTTAATCAAGCTTAGGTGTAATTTGATTTCTGGTCTATTCAAGTCTAATCAGATTGGGTCATATATACTCACGTAAATATTGTCAAATATCATTTACGTAGTAGATTGTTATGGCAGTAAATTAAACAATCTTAAACGCATTTATGTTTATGTTGGATTGGTCGATCCCGGTCGAGCCAATTTACAAACGAATCAAAATCAGTTATGTGATTTTGAATAGAGTTCAAATTCAAATTGATTAATCATGTATTAATGTACAAATTCTATTTTACGTCTCAAAATACTCGTTAGCTTAGTATCTATCTACTACAAAGTGCAAAGCATATATATGTTTACCGATATTGCTATTTTTTCACACTTGTAAGAGTTATAATGTGTACTCCGTATTTATCTATTCGGATAATTTGCAGAACACTTATTCGTACTTCCTATTGAAAGTCCCTTACATCAAGTCATCAATGGTACAATGCACACACCCTTGTAGTTAGATGTAAATGTATGTAGCCTAATATTGTCCATAGCACCCTTAATATCCTAACCAAATTGAAATGAAAGTCTCGTGATCCGAAAATATCACCAAATCAATAATATAATTAGCTTACAAGAATACAAGCTTCTTCCATCTACTTGTTAAAAGTGAATGTTATCATATAGCTTGCCTCAACTAATTAGGCAATGATAAAGCTACTTGTTACAAATCTTACACAAAACAAGTTGCAATTATTGTACTAATTACTTCACATATACGACACTCAAATGCATAAATAACTCACATTTAATCTCTAAAATTTGGCCAATTCATCTCTCACCAATTCAATCACTATCAATTAACTTTCTCATAAAGGTATGTGTAGTAATGTACTTGTGTACTTATGTACATGCACGCAATAAATATCTAGTTTTTGATCATGTATATATTTACTAATTATAGTATTATTTATTGCTTGTCAACAAAATTGTAAAGGATAACTAACATTTACAACACTATTATCACTGATTATTAATTGGAATGATTATTAGGCTAGATGTTTAGTCCAAAAGAAGATTAGAACTTCGAGTATTTTATGTAGAAATCAGAGTTTTGTATAAGCAAGTGATTATAAAAATAATCGTGGAGAAATACTTTTTTCACAAAATTGAAATTTTAGACATGGATGTTTATACTAAGAGTAGACACAAATCAGAGTAGTTAAATAATGTATAATAATCAAGTACATAATGGAAAGAAAGAATCAAATAGGGAAAATATTTACTCGTATAAGGAGAGAGTTTGAGTTAGTAACCGATAGGCATATCATATGTGTATTGGATGATGGATTTTTTTTTTTAAGCTAGTGATCGTGTATTTATCTAAACAATTACCACAATGGTAAAATTATAAATCTTAATTACACGAGGACATAAGTAATATTGACATATACTCGTAGTAAAAATATTTAGCCAAACCGCATTCCTATAATGTGATGTCTTAATTAAAGTTCTACCAAAAAGAAGGGAAAAAAAGTACTCGTACTACTTTTATCACTTGGCTTAATACAGAGTATTGGGGGTGATGTTTCTAGGTTTTGTCATGTTTCATCGGCAATCATTATTCGATGATCAATTCTTACCCATTACATTTAATTTCTTTAAGATTAATAAATCGATGATTTGACGGTAATTTTTCCTTTATATTTTGTACAAACTTAGGGACACATTTTTTTACTATTACATTTGACAACTTGCCGACTTGGCGTTATATACAAGTAGTAATTATTATACAATAGTTTTGTGAAAACATATTTCAAAATTTATCCCATTAAAACTACATTGAGTACTTAAGCTAAATTTCACAAAAGTAAACAAAATTTGTTTTCGTTTTTTTTAATATACCTAAAATAAATGACGGGTCGAAAACAAACATCAACAAAAGTTCAAAAACAAAAGTAGCACCTAATCTGGTTTAATGGTACATAATACAAAGATAACCCATCATTAAAAGCTCATTAAATAAGATTAATTAAGTGTATTTTATACGACTTTTACCCTAACATCGTGTCATGTTCCACTTTGAAGTTGATACTTTTTGTGAACTACTTGCCTATAGAAATATGATCAAATTGACGTGAAAACAAAGAAGGCCATAACGTCCAATTTAAATATTATGCATGGGGCGTAACATATAGTAATCCAAATTAAAGATGAACAACCTTATTTTTCTTTGTGAGCAACATATGCATATTATATAGTCTTAATATTATAATTATACAACAAAGAATCAATTAGATAAAGACTTATACAACGATGATAAGATTCCACGCGTTAACGTTATAATGGAAGTCTCGTTCAATTTTGTGGTTACCAATTTGCTAACCATTTTAGCTTTGCCAAAAAAATTCTCTATTAATTTTTTTCTATATATAATTAAAAAAATTTAGGTGGCACCAAATAATTCGTTTAGTACGAGGCAATATATAACAAGGCAAGTTCACCTAAAAATCTTTATTAAATTATAATTTACATCCAAAACGTCGGTCTAAAAATATTTTAAAAAATTCACTTTCATCAAATTCCAAACAAATTGGATATACCCATCAAAAAATCAAACATTTACCGCTTGCCACGTGGATAATCAACCCCATACTAGGTTGCCACGTGGTTAGATGACAAATTTGCCACGTTGTACTTAGTATTTGGTTAACCGTCTTAAGCAGTTAATTAGTTAAATTATTGTTTTTCCTCATACATACAATTATAAATACCATAGGTTATAATATAATATAAGGTCCAAGTTTGTCACACACTATATATAAAAGCCGACCCAATTTTTATGAAGTATTAGGTTGTCTGTCTCATCACATAGATTCTCTTGAATTTATTTATCCAAAATTAAAAGAGATGACAGAAGTTGTACCAATTATGAGGATTGATAGAAAATCTTCAATCGAATTTGAGCCTCGTACTCTTAATTTCCAACAAATTCAATCTGCAAGGGTATGCATTTGGTGTATTTATTCAATCTTATGTTTCATTTTTGTTGACATGGGTTTGATCTATTATTATTTATCAACGTTATCTGATTTAGTCGTAAGAATTGTATCTTGTATGACAAATTATGTAGTCGAATATTAGAGATGGTGAACTTATATATATCATAGGTGATTTAGAAAAATTTAGAGATTTTTGTGTGTGTGGATAATGGATAAATATATTTATAGTCTTTTATTCCATTCTAGGAATATTAGGATGTTATTAAGGGATTCACGGATGTTATAGGCTAGGTCGTATTCTGTGAAAGATTTTAGTTTGGATGTTTGAGTTTTAGTCGTATAATGGAAAAAGATTTAGCCATATTGTACTTAATTTTTTTAATACAAAGTTAAATTAATATTTTCAGAGATGTAAAAACAAGAAGAAAAATAGCCTTCAATCAAATGGGATTAAGTATTTTTGATGGAAGATAGTAATTTATTTTTTTTATCAAAAAGAGTAGTTTATTTTTTAAGGAATTTGTCTAATCATTATTGACATTCAGCTAATTCGAAATTTTGTTAAGCATGAGATTATAATATAATCTGCCAACCTTTATTCTTTTATAAGTATTTTTAATTACTGTGATTGAATTTTACAGGATGCAGCTTTGTGCGTATTAAATTCGAGGAGTATAGAAGAAGCAAATCAAATATTTACAGAGGTAATTAGTAATTACTGAAGATTCATATCATTATTAAATATTAGAAGAAGCAAAATAAATTATTTACAGAGGTAATTAGCTTTCTGCTAAATGCTAATGCATGGGATTTTTGTAATATGATAAACGTTTTGCACAATTGAAATATTCATTTAGCCGTAATTCAAATGTAATGTAACACATTGGGTCATGGGCTTAGCCTCATTTTTAAGGTAAGATCTATTAAGGGCCCAAATTTATGACGAATTTACTTGAATAAATGGCGATATTTTTTTCATAATTCATATTTTTTTATAGTTGTATACAAAGTATTTTAATTTGAGTTTAAAATATGGAAAATGCTATATATAATGATTATGTATAAAAAGTTAAAAGAGGATAGTATTGGTGAATTCATTAATTACACTTATTTACGCGTGATTTCATCATGCATTCATAAACTAATACGAGTACCAAATAAGGAAAGATATTTAATGCTTATTTGTAGCCTTAAGGGCTACATATAGTATTACCTTTAAAATATATAGAGATAGGGTTTGAGGAAATCGAGATTGAGGGATAGCTTAAGTAGTTAGAGCTTCCTTCCCGATTTCAGGAGACCCTGGGATCGAATTTCATCACCCGCCCTTGTGGCTCTCTAAACAAAAAATTTAAAAAAAAATAAAAAAAAAAGATTTGAGGAAATCGATCTATACGTGGTCTATATGCTATAAATATTTTATTATTTATCAGTTATGAACGATCATCTTGGTAGTAATTTAGTCATTTTAAATTTTTAATAATGAAATATGTGACAAATTAGACGATTATTTTCAAATGTCATGTGTATCAACACAACTGAAAAAATGCGACTATTATATAAGAACGGATAGAGTATTACATTTAGCATGTACATAACTGATATGTGTCATAACTTAATATTGTAGGGTATGGTGCCCGTAGTAGCCGGTGCAAGCCGAAATACACCATGGATAATCCCAACGAGTGGATGTAGAGATGAAGAAAAGGATGTGTATCAAACATATAGCAATCAACATCTCATAATGGACACATCAAGGGAGGCGTTCACTGCTCCATTTTAGGCCCTTTCTTAGTCATGCTTTTATTTTCTCTTCATGTAACAGTGCACTTTAACCTGCTTCTGTAAATATAGCAGCAATCCAGCACTTTTTTTTGTTCCCCTTTGATACTAGGAAGTCTTTTCTGTTAGAGAAGCTTACAACAAACTTTGTATATTGTGTTCAATCTTTATATGGACCGCCTAGTAGCAATTGTTACAATGTATTTGTTCATGATCATCAACAGTTGTTGGGCGTGGTTCAAATTGTAAGGCCCAATATCTTGATGGAGTGTATGTGCGTGTTCTAGAGAATTTTAGAGAAACCAAGCAAAATGTGTGTTTTCACACGATTTACTTAATTTATTTACAAGCTTGTATTACTACGTATATAACTTTCTTGAACTTAATAGGCCAGGAATCACAAGTCAATAAACTTGTGCCTTTTGTCTTTAAATTTTAAAATTTTCAATCGAATTAGTCAAACGTTGTCCAAGTAATAATGCAAAAATTGATTTAAATTGGCTATTTTCATATGGTTATTGTCATTCAGCCAATTAAAATATTTCTTAAACTTGAAATTATGAAAAAAAAATTAGCATTCTAGCCTGTACAATGTTGTTATGTTCAAGGAAAAATTGTTGGGAATAATCTCATCTTTGGGACGTTAAAATATAATCCCATCTTTGGGATATTTTTAAATAATCCAACCTTTATACCCAATCCGCTCAAAATGGTCCCGACCGGTCATGTAACCTGTTATAACAAGTTACATGACACGTGGCGGCCTGTGATTGGTCAAACAAATAAAAATAAAATAAAATTTTAAAAAAAGTTAGATTTTTAAAGAAAAAATAAAAAAAACCACCTACCACCCACTAGCTGCCGCCTGAGCCCATCCCCTTCCCTGCGGCTCCGGCCACCCAGCCCCCAACCACAGCGCCGAACCCCCTCCCCCTCCCCTGAATCACCAACCCCCTCCCTCAAGAACACCTAGGCAGTTTTTTGAAAACCTAGGCAAAGCTCCGGCGAGCTACAAAACCATCCCACACGCTTTTTTCTGTCCCGATCCCAGCCCCCTCCCCTTCCCCGGTCCCTTTTCCGGCTACCTCACTTTCCACATGCCCCAATTTTGACCCCTATCCCCTTCAAACGCCTCGATTTCGGCCCTTCTCCCTCTTCCCATACCTTGATTTCGGTCATGGTTATGGTGGTTTAGTGGCGACAGAAGAGGGTAGGGGAGGGTTAGCAAACGACGCGGTGGCCGGTATGGCTGGGGTTTGGTCGCTGAGGGTATGGCGGCGCTGGGCACCGTCTGGGCCGATAATAGGGGCGGGGAGGTGGCTGGGGTAGCGGTGGAGCTAGGGTCTGGTTTAATTTTAGTTTTTTAGGAAAAAATTAAAAATAATTAATTAATGTTAATTGCTAATTATCATTTCTTAAAACAAAATTAATAAATAAATTAAACTTAATCACGTGGTGATACGTGTAAATTAAACTTAATAAAAAATAAATTTACCTACTCAACCGATTACAGTTCACTTGGGACCATTTTGAACGGATTGAGTATAAAGGTCGGATTATTTAAAAATATCACAAAGGTGGGATTATTTTTCGCGGACGCCCCAAAGGTGAGATTATTCCCAACAATTTTTCCTATGTTAAATGTAAAGCTTGAAATGTATTTTTTGTTATATACAAAGTAATTTTTTATGATAAAAATGAAGAATTATACGAAATGTATATATGTAAGGACTTTGAATTATTCTTTATATTTATATATATGGGATAATATAAAAAGAGCATCAATAAATATTGTATTAGGAATAATACGATTTAAAAAATTAAAAATTAAAAGGAAGGGGGAAAGATTTAAGGACCCTAAAAAATAAAAAAATTGAATGAGGAGATATGTGGTGCCAATGGTTTCAGTTTTTACAGACGGGTATATTATACGAGGAATCCAATCAGCATACCTTCATCCTTCTTTTAGTTTTACTTATTTTTTTTTAACTTCGACAGTATTTGTGGTTTAATTTTGTAGGATGCAGCTTTGTGCGTATAAAATTCGAGGAGTTATAGAAGAAGCTGAGGTAATTTGTAATTATTGACGGCTTTATCATCAATAGCAAGCTAGAAATTTTCGTAATAAAACTGAATGAAGTTTAGATTGAAAGTTTATACAGACCGCACAAATGTCATATGAAACCATATGCAACCTAGAGTACTACAGCGTAGGAGTAGGAGTGTCTAAGACTCGCAAGTTACTTTAACAAATCATTCACTTCAAAGAAACCAAGATTAGAACACTCCCCCAATCAGAAGGATCGCCTAAATCTCCCAATCCTGTGAAAATATCAGCATCTGCTGCATCCTCAGAAAAACACTCCAATAGCCTGTCCAATTCGTCCTCTGAAGTTGGTAAAATACTAGCACGTTCCACAGAAGCTGCTGAAGCTTTTGAGACACTTGTAGATAATAAAGGAGCAGCATTTGGCACATCCAAGGAAGTTGCAGCAGCAATATACGGAGTAGTTACAGCAGCAGTGAAGGGAGAAGGTTCTTCAGCAGCAGCAGCAGTGAAGGGAGGACCAACTGGTGAAGAATCCTTTGGAGCACCTGAAGACAAGGAGATAACAGAATCAGCAACAAATGGGCTGTTATCAACAAACCCACAACCCTTCTCAAGACCAGACTTTCTCCCCTGCACATTATCCTCATTGTCACTGTCCCACTCTTCTTCTATGAAACGAGCCCCATAGTCTTCTCCATTCTTTGGTCCTGCACCACTCTTTTCGAAGATTTTACAGATGGCATATGAATCCTGAGGCACACCTTTGTCAGCAAGAAGTTTATCAGCCAATATATACTCATGCATGACCCAATTGGTCCTTTCCCCCTTCGGAGCTTTTCCCATGTGAAAAATTAAAGTCTTAATCTTTCCAACATCCCGTGAAGCATACTTTGTAGGCGAATCAGTCCCTGTCGATTTCCAATATCCCCTATTAGTAGTCCTGCTCACTCTGCCTCCAGATGGGTATTTCTTTGACCGAGGACAGAAGAAGTACCAATACCGATCCTTAGTTTTCAGATGTGCCATTGCAGGAAGATCCCAGGGTTCAAACTTATACACATCAATCTCAGAAATCATTTGAGGACCCAGAGATTTACCCAGAACCTTCCTCTTCAGATAAAACATGAACAACTCCTCATCTGTTGGGTGAAATCGAACCCCCGGTAGAAAGGACTTATTAAACAATAATTCTTCCATGAATCAGCACCAGAAAAGAACAAGCAGTCCTCTTCTTTTTAAACTTTCAATCTACTTTGAATTCAAGAATTTTGAATTGTAACAATAATCAAAGGAGAGAGGGATCAGAGACAATCAACTCACCCTCCAATGATTAAGCCAACAGCCAAAATTTAAGAACCCAACCACCAACGTACCCTCGTGAAGAAACAACGATAAAACAGAATGATCCACAAATTTTTCTTCTTCAGATTTACAATAGACATGGAGATCTGGAATTTAGCACAAACAACATATTCAGTGAACAACAAAAATCACAATCGCTCCAAAAAAAAAAAAAGTCAACAAAATCCACGACCGTCAAATTGATTCCATTATCAAATTAGACTTGTAAAATCACATAGAATTATTCACGCCTAAGAATATAAACAGAACCGCATAAAAAAAATTCGAAACAACATAATAACCCATCTTAGAAAAACCTAAATTGACTATAATGACACCAAAATCATCGATGAACCCTAAATTATGTAATTGATGATCAATAATTAAGAAACATAGTAATCGAAGATTAAAAATTGCATATCCAAATTCAAATCAGAGATACAAAGATCCACCTTAAAACCCCAAATTGATTATACGGAAGATAACTTAACGATTAAACCCTAACATTTGAAATTGAAATTCAACGATTAAATATCGTATACCCAAATTCAAACCAATACACAAAAACCCACCTTAGAAAAACCCTAAATTGACTATACAAACGATCAACTAAACGATAAACCCTAACTTCGGAGATTGAAATTCAACGATCAAAAAATATAATACCCTAAATCAAACCAAAAACACAAAAACCCACCTTAGAAAAACCCTAAATTGATAATACAGACGATCACTAAACCAATTACCCTAACTTCTAAAAAATGACATTTAACAATTAAATACCGCATTGCAAAATTCAAACCAAAAACGCAAAAACACACCATAGAAAAACCTGAAATTGACTATACAAACGATCAACTAATTAAACAATAAACCCTAACATTTGAAATTGAAAATCGACGATTAAATAAAGTAAGAAAACAAAATCATACCTAAACTACTTCAATGGAGGAGAGAGAAAATCCTCGGAGATTGAGAGTACGCGTTTGAATGGAAGAGAGAGAGAGTTGTTTGTGAAGTGAAAATATGAGAAGCTGAAAAATGAGTACTCGTAATATATAGACTAGAGTGAAAGACTAATGATGAGAATGTATTGTCAATCGTCAGATCAAAAGATATTGACGGTTACAATTCTTTCTAAATCAAGTTCTTAATTTTATGGAATGTTCTTAAACACAACATTAAGAAATGATTTCTATACTCCATACTCCGTATTTAATTACTCCCTACTTCGTATTTATTACACCCTATATTTTTGTTGATTAAATCAAATAGATAAATTTACAAGTACGCGTATCACGTATCATAAGTCACAACTCCGCTACCAACGTCCCTAATTAAATATAAAAATAATATTCAAATGGAAGAATTCATACAAAGGAAGTACATTATTTTCGTTTGACATTTTGTCCAAAAATAAAAAATAAAATAATTCGTTCGACATTGATAACAAGCACATAGAGCAAATTTTATTACAATCCGTGCTTGATTAGGGGATTTTGCTCCCACCAATCGGAATGCGCCACGTGGGCCAATCAGGTCCTGCCAAGTGTCCCTCAGTTGGAACTGTCAGGGCTTGCCACGTGGCACCCGTTTATTTGTCCACCTTGGACCTATTATGTCATGACACGTGGCATACTCCATGCCTAATGGAGAAACCGGCCACCCAGGCCCAACTTCCGAGGGAAGCCCAATCAGCCCTAGGTTAACCTAAACCTAGGATTAGCACGTTTCCCAAGGTTATAAATACCTCCCTTAATCCTCATTAAGGGAGATTACAAGAATAACATGCTGATCACGCTAAAAAAGCAGATTACCTACATTAAACACTCTCACCTAGAGAGACCCAATCACTTTAATTTCCGCATTAATTACTCCTTAACCAAGTACTAACTTGACCGTTGGAGGCGGAGCTCCCACCACCAGGAGTCTCCGTTGTTTTGCAGG